ACGTAGTAGTACGTAGTACTACGTACTTACTTACGTACGTTACGTAACGTAACGTAACGTAAACGTAACGTAGTAGTAGTACGTAGTAGTAGAGAGAGAGAGAGAGAGAGAGAGAGAGAGAGAGAGAGTACATAATTTGCATTGCTTGCATAGGGATTATTGGTGAAAGTCACCACTATTGTTTCTAAGATAATGGCGAGAATATGATTCTTGTTCTCAATTTGCTACCCTATTGTTTCCATACACGGCTCTTCCTTCCCAACACGGATTTTACTTGTGCAAGGCTTTTTAATGGAGGCTACCATGTTCTCCGAAGTATATAGTACATGGGTGTGATAATGTCTCAACCTTAAATAATCACAACAAAACGCATCTCTAAATCTTGCCAAAAGATTCAATTTCAGCACTGGGACCTTTATAATGGCCTAAAAATCTACCTTCTGCTCAAGTTATAAAATTTAAAGATCTAAACGTCAGATTTATGAACATTTAATTTTTTTTTTTAAAATGGATGGTTTAGTTAATGTTTTACAAGATACACTATTTTTAAAACGATTTTTTTATCTTTTATGTTAATATATTTTGAGGCCGTGGTAATCCATTCTAGGGTTTTTCAATATTGGAACAACTTCTTTGAGAAGATTTTCCTTTTACAATGTAAGGTTGACATGTTATATAAACTTTTTCCTTACTAAACAGTTTCCTCACATAATTTTCTACAACCTTGAGAACTTGCTTTGCCGGCCCAGCCTTAAAAGGTACGACCTGGGATACAAAATATGGCACGAGGGCTTGGCTAGGGCTAGGGCCGGGCCAGGTGACGGCTGACCTGGCCGGGCCATCCTATTTTTGTTTTAGTCAGACAATGCTTGTTGGTATCTTTTCAAATGTCATGGACAGTTTAGGAGAGCGGTCACGCTGTTTCCATGAATGGGGTTTTGAGTTCTCTTCAAGGTTTTGGTCCCCCACATAAAATTTTGTTAGGCCAATAATTTGGGGTTGGTGTGATGTAGAAAGGGCTTTGGTTTTCTCTGCCTTTGTTTTCTTGTGCTCATTTTGCTTATTCATTGCTACTACGTGCATTGCACAACATTGCTTTTATTTCAAAAATCTCTCTCTCTCTCTCTCTCTCTCTCTAAAGGTTGTCATCGACTCTTCAGGTGCCCCTGTAGTTGGATACAGGCCATTTCTCTTTCTAAATATTAAAAACACATCATGCATTTCTGTTCGAATGATATTCAAGTGCAAGTGCACAAGTCTGAGTGAGCACAGACGAAACGTGAAGCCCTCTCTCTTTCTCCATATCAAAGAGAGAGAATTGCTTTAGAATTTGAATTGAAGTTTTTAGGAAGGGATTGCATACAACGAGATTATTTACCAATTTCAAGAGTGGTCAATGAAAAATTATGCTCTCCACCTAAGCACACAAATGTGAAATTTCCTCCAATTTCAAGCGTGGTCAATGAAAACCCTAACTACCCCATCGGATCTTATATCTGACAGCTCGCAGCTAGGATTAGCTATGCATCACCTTTTGTCATAAAAGCTAAAAATAAGATGCGGCTTTTGAGTTTCGGTATCAATTTTTGGCCGTGGTTTTAGAAGATGTCAACAATAAAACCGTTTTTATTTGAAAAATTGTTTCATACGGGTTGGACCGCATAACTACATATGCGGTTCAAAAAGTGTAAAGTATCCATCTTAAAGATGGATACAAGCAGGTGGTCCATCTAAAAATAATGGAAACTAATATTTTTTTACTAAAATTATTATTTATAATTTTTTTGTTTTTCATATTCATGATCTCCATGTTAGAGATTACATATCCTTAAAAGTTAAGTAAAAAATCCATAAATTTATTAATAGGCCCACATTTCTACATATGTTGGCTTGACTACATAGAAACCAAATCTTTTTTATCTTTGATCAAAGAGGTCAAAATCATTATTGATCATTAGGTTCGAAATCAGATGGGTGAGGATGTGTCATTATTTGAGCATAAAGTCCAAAATAAGAAACCCCTTTCTCTAAAGATTGGTGGCCCAAATTGTTAAACCTATAGATCGGCAATAGATTGTTGAATCAGCGATCCAAATTAGATTCAAATCGGTCCAAATTAATAAATAAAAATAAAAATATTTAAGAGTGGGGTTATAGGGAGAATCATATTGGGACTTATACCATCCTAAACCGACCACTTGCCATCCAAATCAGCGATCGAGATCATAAAACAATAACATCTTGTCCATTCATTATCATCGATGGTGAAATCCGTGTATCAAGTGGCGCAAAAGCTTGAGTCTCAATCTCTCTCCCCAACCAAAACCAATCAAAGAAGGAAAAAGTTTATATAAGGTGTCGACATGTACGAGTACGGTGTGCCTAAAAATCCCATCAAAGAAAGTTGTTTTTATGTTAGAAAATGCTCAAATCGTTTATCTCGATATCGAGAATCATCGACAATAAAAAAAAAAGTTTTTTAGTCTTAAAAATAGTTCATCTTTTAATACATTATCTAAACCGTTTATTTTCAAGATTTTTTAGTGTTTATAATAAATCTACTTTATGATCATCATTTTTAAAACTTTAAATTTTATAATAAAAGGCAACAATAAATTTTCATATAGACTTTGTGGCACCGAAAATGCATTTCCAGCATAGTTTTGAAATGCACCTTATTTCAATAATATGAAGTTTGAAACCTCACGCATCAAAGAATAAAGTAAACGTCGGCAAGAGTCGTCATTCTCTCTCTCTATCACTTTTATTCTTTTTTGTCTCTCTCATACACGGACCTCATGCGGACCTTTTGGCTCTACGACACTCGTCCGGCCCAAAGCTTTCAATTTGGGAAAAGGCCCCCTCTCTCCATTTCCTCTTTGCATTAACCTCACCTTCTCTGCATTTCTTTTCAATGTGTATTTCCTCTCCATTTCTTCTTTTTAGTGTTCATCTTTCTTTATAAATTGGCCCTTCTTCCATTAATTTGTGTGACCGGTCAAATTCGTCAACTGTTTCATATTTAACTCGCAACTAATTAATCTTTCCTCAAAGTCCTTAGATATTGGAGGAAAATTAACTGCTTTGTTAGTATCAGCTAATTATGTTTTTAAAAAGGTCTAAAGTTTGTTTTCTTTTCTTTCTATATACATATATATATATAACACTACTTGACAATCGTAACCGAGTAACGAAATTTGGACGGTGATGAGGATAGGCGAAATCACTATTCATTTTCACCTATAGGCATTGGGAAGACTTTTCCTATATATATAAAAACAATACGCAACGTCTATAGGAAAAAATGAACAGTGATTTTACCTACCCCCATCATCGTCCAAAGTTTATCGCAAGGTCACGACTGTCCGGTAATGTTTAGTTTTTCATTTTTTTTAAAAAAAAAATCGGAATGACCTGAATTTTAGAGCTTGTATTCATAAAAAATAGGAGAATATTGGAAAAATATATAAAAAAATATTTTACATGAAAATAATTGACCAAAATACCCTTGAAAAGTTTTAGGGGTATTTTGGTCAATATTTTTACGCTGATAATTTTTTTTATATTTTTATTATTAGATGCGCTTCAATAAGATGTATATACCCTCCAAATTTCAGGTCATTCCGATTTGTAAAAAAAAAATGAAAAATAAAACACTACTTGACAATCGTGACCGCATGATGAAATTTGGACGGTGATGAGGGTAGGCGAAATCACTATTCATTTCGCCTATAGGCATTGTGAAGAATTTTCATATATATATATGAAAAAAGCTAATAATAGCTAGGCAGGCAACTATAATAAATAGTAATATAAGTAGAATCTTAGCCGTCAGATCTTCCTCATGTGGTTCAGAATGTATATCACGATATGAATTTTAATATTTTTTTAGAAATTCGATCATAATGAAATTTTAGACATGTGTACTAAAAAATAGGGTGCACAATTAAAAACTATATAAAAAGTATTTCTCAAAATATAAAATGATCGAAATACCCCT